GGGCAGGGCTGCCTGCGTGTGCAAGGCGGGTACAGTATAGAACTCAGCGAGGAAGCCAAGGGCAGGGCTGCCGGCTCCTTCGCTATCGCTTGTGATTCAGAGTGAACTACAGTCGCCCTGCACTGTGTCTCATCACACCAAGGACAGAGCCCACCCTCAGCCTTGAACTCTGCAGGACACAAACCACAGGAAACTGTCCTGTTCCATTTCCTCTAATCCCCTGGATGACTTCTCACAGGTGGCCAAGCACCTGTATGTTGGAGCTGAAACTGTCCTTGTTTAAATCAACTCTACTATACGACAATATTTTAATGTAACTCACATGTCCTGGTGTTGGCTAAATGTGGGGCACTGTGCTGTGCACCCGACGGTCACTGTCACCCAGAACAACCATTGTGGTGTCACCCATGTTAACGCTGCGCTAGGGGCAGCCGGAGAGGCTCACTGACCAGAGCCAGCATGTGAGCTCAGATGAGGCTGCTTCTAAGTCCATCCCAAATAGTGGTGGGCACGGGAAATTTAAATTACAACTCATCAAAGTGATGAGGTCTGAGCTGGAAAAACCTGGACTCACACATATGACAACACGACATCATGACATCCACATGACCTGAGTAGGTTCAATGGAAGGAATCCTACCATGACGGGAAAAATGATGGCAGCCACAGTGGACTTGAGGATCCAGAGGAGGGCCAGACACAGCACCTGCAGGAAAGTGAACAGGTGCACTCTGCGCAGGGGGACGTGCCGCAGGTAGATAAAGTCGGGCTGATGCTTCAGCGGCATCAGGAGCAGCTTCAGACGATCCATGAACTGGGGGAGAGAAGGAGGAGAGTCTGACTGCATCACTTCAGGAGCAGACAAAGCCATTTCCGCTGTGCCTGACCAACCGCTAGGGACTGATACTATATAATTCAGGCAAGCAGTGTCCTTTTCAGAGGACACAGAACTGGTCAGGGACTGCAGAAATGTAATCCAGCACAGTGAAGCACAAGTCTTCAATGACAGTACACAGCCTATACGTTTCAGGAACGTATGTGAAGCATGACACTGCAATGGTATCTTGGCAAATCCCACATTATTGATCTATGGCATATCATTTGGCAACGGATTACTATTTCTTTTCAGAGAAAAGCCACATGAATAGTACAGTGAGTTTCTTATAAACTAGGTACGTGAGTCTAAGAGACGTTGTGTAAAGACAGGTACAGAAATGAACACTGAGCACGGCCGTGCCCAGTGCTCGGCCTCAGAGGGAAACTGCTGTGCTGATGACAGTGGCACTGATGAAGGGGACGGCAGCGGGAGCCTATCACTGGTCTATCCATGAAGGACACTCGGTAAGTGGCTGTGGGATAATTGTGGGACAATTGTGTGATAAGCAGTCTGAAGTCGCATCTCTATTTTCTCTCTGGAGGGTACAGAGAGGTACAAATCGTTAGGGAAAATTTTTCAAAGGACTTTGTAAAAAAGTAAACTAGACTAGCATAATCCATTCAAAAGCTTTCTTACCCCCCAAAGCCATTTTTGACTGGCTTTCTGATTTATAAACATGGCATCATAAAATTTCTGCCTAAATCAAATCTTGTAAAAAAAGGTCTAAAAAAGAGGGAGAGTCAAGAAAAAAGTGAGAAAAAGAGAAAAGCTGTTGGGGGCAACGGCACTGCAGAGCCTAACAAACCACTGACTGCCCTCAGCACTGCTGCTTCCCCGGTGTTACCAGGTGGCTGCTTTCTTTCTTTTTTTTTTTTAATTCTATAAACATGGACTGTATTCTAAACAGTAAGACCCCAGAACACACAGAATCAAACTCCTGTTCATAAAGGTCAAACAAAAACAAGAACTGTAAGTTTGGGGGCCTGATTAGTTTCATTTTTCCATTTGGGGGAATAAAAAATAGCAGGTAAAAATAAAAGATTTTCATAAATTATACTTCCTAAAAGCGTCCTTGGCACAAATGAATCCACCTTCCACTCACCTAGTCTATTCTAAGAAGAACCCCCTTGTACTGTCTCACAAATGTCCCGATAGGGAAGATCTCTCCTCAGCAGACCTAAACAGAGAAAAGTAAAGGAGCCTCTTCTCTTTTTAGGGGTCTGGCCAATTGCCCAGCTCTGAATCTAAAATCAAATTAACGTAGATTCACTAAGTGAAAGCAAGGTCTATTTTGAAGGGGTTCAAATGAATTCTTACGGTGTTCCCAGAACATGGGGTCTGTTCCCATGGACACACTGTGAGGGCGAAGGCCGCAGCTAACAGGTGCCAGAGAGCAGCGTGAGGACGTCCAGTTTCCTGGTGCCAATTAAACCTCAATTGAAAGACAAAGTCCTTTGAAAAAATTTCCCTAATGATTTTTTTAAGGGGGTTAGTTTTACCAAAGTTGTAAATAGCTGGTTTTCATCAGAACCAGCATGTAAGCCATATTGATTTTATCTTTCATTGGTGCAAACGTTTTGATCATTGATCTTAGCCATGTGAATAGCCTGCTTGTGTGTGAGGCTAAGGAAAATGGGCAAACAGACCATCTTGAAGAGCACACCGATAAGTTCTGGTGTCCTTCTCAAGACAAAGCGAGAAATACAGCTGAGAGAGAGACAGAAATCTGAGAAAGAAAAGGAGAAAAGATTATAGCTTTCTCACTTTCCTGGTTAAATAGCTTTGAACAGCCTAATTCAAGAGTGGGTATGCATGGAAACAAATATGAATATTTATTAACATCAGTAACTATGTTCATTAAATCAAAAACAAAAAGCAGGTGAATGGTAGAGAAAGTAGAAAATAAATGCACTTTAAACACTCAGCAATTAATAATTAGCATTTTTTTATTGAATGGTAACTATGTACATTAATGCACTTCTGGGAAATTAGCATTTCTCTACAAAGGTCTAGTGCTGGAGTATTCTTCCTGCTAGAAAACCATGAGTGCGTTGGGAGGGAAAACTCACCTGTACACCTTTCAGGGACGCCACCCCCATGTACAGGAACACGCCGTACAGGACAGGCATGGGAATAAACTAGGGAGGAAAAGGACGGATGCGAGTTTAAAACAATGGTAAGGCAACAGCGAAGGAGAGGAAACAAGACAGGCTACGACCACACCGTGAGCTCTGACCTGTGTGTGAGCTTCACTCACCAACTGATAATCGGCTAAACTCTGTACTAGAAATACACAGAGAAGAGGAAAGGGACTCCCAGTTTTCCTTTGCTGTCCTTTTTGAACAGTGAACATGCAAGACCTTAACAACTTTTTAATTGATTAATGGGAGAAACTGCTCTGCTTCCCATTCTCCTTAGAAGCAACGACTATGCAAAACAGACCAGACGCTGGGTGGGCTGTGAGATAGGAAGAGGGGCGATGTTTCTCTCTGAAGGACACGTTCCTTGAGCTTTTTGCTTAGTAATTTTTGCCGAATGATCTATCACCTCAGTGTATTATCTCTTTCAATAAAATAAGCATCAGATGACTGTCCCTCTTCTTCTCAGGAACAGTAAGGGGACTAACTCATGAGAACACTGCTTAAAAGGAGCAGAGACCTGGATGCAATTAATTACAAATATTTTATAACTAAATTAATACATTTCCATGCATTAATTAGTAAAAAGTCATTTACATGAATACAGAGTGTCTTAACAATGAGAAGTCCCAGCATGATGTGTCTATGAATTTTATCTATTCCCAGACCTGTGAACTGTCCCTTCCACCCAGGAGACCAAGCTGGCAAGGATGATTCTATTTCTGGGAAGTCTTCTGTTCAAACAAAAAAAGGTTCTCAACTTTAGGTTTTGAAAAGAAGGTCAAGTAATTTCGGGATTTTCAAAGCTAAAACACTAAAACCACAAGTCAATTAAGGCCAATCTCACCAAATCCACATGAAGGAGGCTATTGTAACCAGAAAGCATTGTGTGGCCTTAGAGCGATTTTTAAAGAAACACCGCATGTTTCAGGAGAAGCACATTTCCTGTCAGCCTCTCCTGTGGTCGTCTAGGACAGGTGTGTGTGAGACCCCTCCGCCACTAAGAAGAACTACTAAATTTTAAAGGGTGTCATGTCTGTCCTCAATACTTACTGGTCAGCCACAGGAAAGGTTACCTTTAAATAAAATAAATACATTTATTTATATAAAACATAAAATTGCTCCTTCAAAAATATTAATACTTTTGCTGTAGCTAATTTTGATCTTGAACTAAGGAAAAAACCAACCCACTCACACGCAGGAGGCGGCGCGGGCGCTGGTGTTGGGCAGGAAAGGGGGCCGCTGCGGTACCGGAGGTGGCCAGCAGGGTGCGCGCGCACCTCGCTCAGGCCGCCCTGCCACCTGCCCTGCGCGCTCAGAACACGCGTGCTCTGGTGTCTCACGATTCCGCTGCATAAATTTACCAAAAGGTAAAATGATAAAACTAACGGAGGGACTGTATCATAGCTTGGACTCATATTTTAAACATCTTCCACTTTTCCTCTTGTCATGTCATTTTAGGTTTGAACTTGAACTTCTTTTCAAAACCTGAAGTTGAGTGGGGGGTAAGGCAAGGTATGAGAGGAAACTTTTTAATCTGAGGAAAGTATTTTAATAGCTTAAAAGAAAGTGACCAAAAGGGTGCACCCCGGCCTCATCCTCACCCCAACCTGAGCTTAGCTAAACATTTTCTCTGCTATGGTTCTAATGCCAAAGTACCGGGAAACTGAGCCTGGCGGGCAGGTCCACGCTCTCTGAATTTGTGATTACAGGTGTCACTGAATGTGCCACACAGTAAATCAGCAAGTACCAACAACACAGAATGGCACGGGGTGTGGACAGGAATATAGCGGTAGACATGAAGATGTTTTTTAAAAATTATTCTTTTCTGGAAAGAAAACGGTACAATTAAGGAAGCCTTAATTTGATTTGGAGTTAATTTCAATGCAATAAAAAATGTGAAATTCACCATTTCCTTCACAGTATAGTGCAACATCTTAATAAAAATCTTCCAGTATGGAAATCTTGGTTAAACGTGACAGAATTATTGGGTTAGAGAATTTTTTATTGGATTTGGTTCATGAGTCATATCAGGTTAATCCTTAAAAATTCATCACAATAGAATATTTATTATACTAGAAATATTATAGTAGAAATTTCTCAAAGGAAAGAAAAGAAGAATGTTTTTAAGAAGATGGAAATTAAACCAGTATACATAGTAGTAACAGATAAATATTTTTACAAAGAAGGCAGGAGAAATTAAAACATAAAATACACAAGGTATACCAGGTTTACAGGCATATCCAAAATTGCCAAATGATAAAATTATGCAAAGAAAATTGTATAATTAGTCATACCAAAGGAGCCAAAAAAGCATAATTATAAATCAGTACGACAGTATTTCAAATAAGCACTACGAAAGAAAAAATAGGAAATTGATTCTAAGACCAGAGAGAATAAAATTGAGATGAAATCAAAGTTAGATTTAACATGTCTAGATCATGTCACCAAATTTTCAAATTGTAGTGAATACATTTCATTCATTTTCACTTATACATCCTTTTGATTGGCTAACACTGTTTGAATTTTCCCAAAAAGAAAAGCAAGGAAAGGATAAATTTAATAATAAAGGCAGACCATAGTTGTCCAGCATAGAATTCAGTACGGAAGTGAGCCCTGCCCGCAGAATAACGGTCACTGTGTGCGTGTGTGTGAAACCAGAATGAGATCCCGATTAATAGCAGGTTTGAAATCTTGAACTAAGGAAAAAAGCTGAAGCAAATTTTGGCAGAAACACCGAGAAAAGCATTAGCTTCCCTTATCCTCAGTGTGCTCATCCAGAAAGTGGCTGCGATAAAGACTCTGGGGTGCGAGGCGTCTAGTCCAGGGCCGGGCTCATAACAGACACTTCATAAATGATGCATGTGGCATTAGTGTCATCATTTGCATGAGGACCTTGACCGGCAAGCAGAGAGGCCTACAACTGCCCAGCACAGCTCTCTTCAGCCCCTCCACGGGTGGGTGGGGGAGCAAAGGACAGCAAGGCACAGTCCAGTAGGAGGGCCACAAACGTCAGACTGAAGCCCTGGTTTTACTTCAGTTCTATTGCTCTTTCGGCTGGAACAGATATCTTTGGAATCATGTTATTAAAATAATATCCTAATTCCCTTGAGCCTTAAAGGTCCAAGCTGATGACTTGGACTGCTGACTTGCAGTCTGGTCCCTAATTAAAGAAACTGGAATGAGGTATGATTAGGAGTTTGTGAAATGCCATTTTTCTCTTAGAATTAGAGAAATTAGATCAAAGCAGCCATGGAAAATCTCCCATGGGAAATGAACATGAATGAGTTATTTGAAGCAAGCACAGTTTATTTTAAAAAGTGGTAAACCATGAGGGCCGTGAAACTGGATTGTGTATCAGAACTGCCTGAGTTCAAATCTGGGCTCTATTATTTAAGAACTCTGTGACTCAGCAAGTTGTTCTATATATATATATATATATATACACACACATATATATACATACATATATATATGTATATATATATACATACATATATATGTGTGTATATATATATATTTTTTTTTTACCTGTAAAATGGAGAAAATTATTAGTATCTTTTTCTTAAGTGTCATTCATTGAAGGACTAAATTCTAAAAGTCAGTGCCCAGCCCTTAATACAACGCCAAGCTCTATAAATAGGAGCTACTATGCCAAGTGTTATCACCATCACTCCACCATCATCACCACTTCTCTGTTCCCTGGAACTGAGCAGAGGGTGTGGTGTACTGCAGGAGGCCAGCCAGTGTCTTCCACTAAACAAATCTTAAAGATAAATCTTCACTTTAGAGATAAACTAAGTCGAGCAAAGGCAGCGGAACTAGCAGTGAACTTTACTCGATCTTTATTTCTTTAGACTTGCCAGAAAATGGGAAAAGTAAGCCCAAGAAACTGCCTTTCATCTTTCTGCTGGTCTTAGTCCCCCCAGTTTCTCCACACAGAACCCCCAGCTTAATAGGCACTATTTCTGCCGCAGAAGCACAGACCTGACCATCTACCAGCCGGGGAAGCCAGTTATTCCTGCTTCCCAGCAGCTCTGTGCTGAATCGGCCTTAAGATTTGATGCTTTGAGGCATGAACAGCTGCAGCTGGCCAGGGTCAGGGGTGTCCTCATGGACTTAGAGCCACACTGTAATTCCTCACATTCTTCCACATAAAAGAAAGACTCGGCAAAGAGATCAAAACAGAAGTTATAAACTTCATGTTCAAAGTAAGCTCGCAGAGGGGGCAGCTACCTCCACAGCCTGAGGCCTGAAAATCCCTGGGACAGTGTGAGGCCACCAGACCTAAGGAGTGTGGGAGCTGGGCAGTGACCAGCTGTGCATTTCACCTCCCAGAGTGGAAGTCACACCCTTCTCCCAATCCATCCATTTAGTCTCCTTGCCAAGGGAGACTCTTAAGTAAAGCTGCTCTCTGAAGTTGGCCTTGATTCTTTATGAACACATAGTCACTTGGGGAGGACAAAGCTTTCCTCCTCCAACTAACCCCTGACACCACTTTGCGTGTGAAGTCTAGGGTTAATCGCTAATCCTGACTGGTACTTGGTCATGTCTGCCTCTTCCTGTGTTGACTTTCCAACTGTGCTAAGAAGGGTTAGCTGATAAACACGCACAATCAACCACACACCAGTGGTGGGAAGGGAACGCGATCTGGGATGAGCTGACTTTACCAGGAGAAGTGATTCCTGAGCAGCCTGGCTTGCAAAGTGAGAATCAATAATTGCCTATTTTATTGCTGTTGCTACATATAAGTTTTCCACAATACATTGTAAACTGTTTTGACAAAACAATTCCATTTCCTACCTCTGGGGCAAAACCATCCTTAACAAAAATGTTTGCTGGACCACTTTTGCCACTGATTGTTACAAAGACTCTTGAAGGTAATCTATAGTTGCTGGGGGAAACAGCCACCACCATGGGTGAGCAGTGAATG